TGAAAGATAAAATATATGATAGGATTGTTTGATGTTTTTGCTGCGATGTTGACTTTATTTAAGAGCGATCTGCAGAGCTCAGCTTCTTAGCAGCCATTTGGATTCATTCTTTGTAACCCCAGGTTACTGCAGTGGCTCTTTCCCCCCCCCAGTCTTAGTCATTTGCTGGAATGGGCCAGACATTCTGAAGGGGTCTAATGCCATCGGGAGGGGGAAGCGGTGCGGGGGGATGGAGGGACGAACAGATAGAGTAAGAGGTGAAAAGAACATAAGAAAATGAACGGGCTGAGAAGAGACCCCCCTCGCAGGACTTTATTCCTGTCCCCTGTCTCATTACCCAGGCTTTGACTCAATAAAGAGTGGATAAGGAGTGGATAAAGAGGCACACACACCCCTGGTTAACCACCCCTCCCTTGTTCCATAGAATACTTTTTCCTAACTTCCCTTTGTCCATCCTGTTTCTCCCTTTTTTACAGACTTTTTTCTCCAATATTTAAAATCTACCTCCTAACTCTCTTTCCTTTGCGTTTTTTTCCCAGCCTAACTTTTTGAAAGTTAAGTCCATGTGACTCTCATTCCCAGCCTGCCTCTACCCTCTCTGTCCTCTGCGTTCCCTCCCTGTCGGTGCTGTGTAATAGGAGTTATTTTCATCCCTTTCTCTCTGTGACTGCCTGATGGCTGAATATTTACATTTTTCACTCACTGCTGACCTTTCCCTGTTGCCGCTCTGGGAGCTCCAGTCTCCTTGCCGCTCTGATGTTGACAGACTACTGCCTGCAAATCTCATATGGACACAGCAAATGGTACACAGGGACTTAGGAACAGTGCGGGTTCAGCTCCGAGGAATATGGAAAAAGAGAGAGAGAGAGTGAGGGAAACAGAGACTGTAGCAGAGGAGAGTGGTAGAGGTGTCCAGCTGCAGGAATCTGCACCTCCAGTATGAAAACTACCAGGCTCCCTTTTCTTGGCACACATCACCTGAACCGAGATGTAAGTCAGGCTTTCCTAGAAAGCAACACACCGAAGAAAACGCTTGTTTGGGAGATTTTATTTGGCAGCAGAGGTTGCTTTTGTCTTTAAATAAATAGCTGTGCACATATGCAGCAACTCCGGGATTTGGGAGATAATAGGAAGATTCACTAAGCAGTGAGAGAGGCGAGAGCCAAGGATTCACAAAGCAGTTTCTATCTGATCCTGCATGGGAGTCGGAGGAAAACAATCTAAGCGGACTTCTCAAACTTTAATGACTGTGTATGCGCGTTTATGTCTAACACTGAAAGGTTGAAAATGAAGGATGTAGTAAGTGACCCAGAGTGACCCCAACATTTGTTGCATAGGGTGTAAAAGTGTGTTTTTTTTTTTGAGTCTCTGAATGTCAGTTTGTGTAAAACGGCTCCTGTCACACCTATCCAGAATGAACTAAATGATAGGTTTAGATGTTTTCAAATTGTAAAATAATATTTTCACTCTCAGACTTGAGCTGACAGCTCCATTTTCCACTGTTGCCCTGAAAAAAAAAAAATCACACATATATATATATATATATATATATATATATATATATATATATATATATATATATATATATATATATATATATACATACATATATATACATACATATATATACATACATATATTTCACATTACTATCACACTTTTAATGGTAAGATGAAGTGCGAGAAATCGTGATTTGATGTTTGCAGTGTCTTGTTAACACAGTGACACCTTGAACCCTTCTCACATTTGATCAAATTGTAACTTCAAACTTTCATGTATTTCAGTGGAATTTAATGAGATACATCAAAGCAAATATGTGCGAAGTAGAAAGAACATTTCCAGTTTCCAAGCAAAAATCTGTATTTATTTTCTCCTACCCTATTTACTCTGAAACTCCAGAATAAAATCCAACGCAACTAATTACCTAAACCATTAGTATGTAATTTAATTCCATATTAAACACAGCTGTTCTATGACTGGCCCATTAGTTTGTTAAAGAGCTTTAATCAACAAATGAAGATTAGGGAACAGAAGACTGTGTATCAGGGATGTGGTGAAGATTACAGGGGAATTTCTTAACATTTGAATATTAAACGGAGCACTGTACTCGCCATTAACTGAAGAGAAAAGAAAAGACATGACTGTCCCCCTGAAACAGGCAGCAGAGGAGCAGCCAAGAGCCCCATGATAACTCTGGAGGAGTTGGTGCACAAAGCCCAAGTGGGAGAATATGTTGACAGAACAAGTATTGGATGCAATCCAGAAATCTGGTCGTCTTTGCAGTTTTACACAAAATGGGCAAAAGTCAGTTGAAAAAGACATAAAGAAACAGACTGCTGAAACTGCAGCAAAGAAGGTGAATCTGTTATATAAAATCCCATTCAAAAGTTTTAAAGTTGAAGGTTGTAATGACACAAAATATGAAACACTTCAGTGGATGTAATTGTTATGCCACAGAACCGGGTATTTAAATTTGTGGAGCAAATTTAAATCACAATCTTCACAGCTAATTACACAGGTGGAGATGTAAGAGAGTTAAAAGAACTGAACGTTTTCTTTCGAAGATCACTTAACAACCTTTCCAATAAATAAAGCTAGATTACTTTTTAATAATACGCTGAAAATATAATCAAGTGGGTACGTGTATAATAAAGAAAAAAAATGCATAATTAATTTTGCACAATGAAAAAAGAAAAGCTTGGAAGGGGACCACATAGCACGAAAGAGGAGCTTGTGAAGTTTGGTCTGCGTTGTTACTCTGATTATTGTTTTTATGATAATGTGGATTTTCTTCTTTGACCATTTTCCCTTTAAAGTAATGCTATGTATAATCCGATTTTGAATAAACAAAATAAAAATAGTTAAAGCACAAATTTAATTTACTTCTGAATAAAATTTGTGCATCACAAGAAAACACCCACCATTCAAAATAACTATTTTTTTCCCCATCAAGAAACCTATTGAGAGGCATAAGAAAAACTGTTTTGTTTCCAATTCACACAAACACTATTATAAGACTTTGATTATATGTCCTCAGTTTAGTCTGAATGATAGTTTTTCCCTGCATTTGTAAAAGCAATGACAAATTGTTTTTCTGTGAAAACCTGTGTTCCTGAGCCAGTGCTGTAATTTCCACTACAAAATCAGGTTCCTTTTAATGCAGTGCTGCCTGAAGGCGAGAAAATCACAACTATGCAGCATCGTTGTGTGGCTTTTTTTCTTTTTTATCTTTTCCTTTGAGTATTGAGATTTCTCTGGATACTCTGAATTTTTTTATGAATTGCTGAAACGTAGATATTGAAATCCTCCATTTCTTTGCAATTTTACATTGGGAACATTTATCTTAAATTTTGCGGTTCATGTTGTTTATTCTGCTACGTTCATGTTGTTTCTCCACTTAGGAGAAATATGTTTGATCTGTGTCACATTTTATCACATTACACATACAAACATTAGTTTTTGTGACAGAAATGCATTTCTATTTCCCCCAAGTTTCACTTGGAAAATAACTCAAACTCAATCAGATTGAATTAAGAACATCAAGGAATAAAACTTCAATAGACAAATAGATTTAGAGCTGGACTCTGTTAAATTTCCACCATATACATCTGGCATCTGACCTTTAAAGCTACATTTTTATCTTTGACCAGATCTCTGCTGTGTCCCCTTCGCAAGCAGAACTTTTTGTGTGTTTCTTTCAACAATGACCTTCATTTTGCCATACTGTCAACAGATTTAAACACCAGAAATGTGAGTTAATCCAGAGTTACCACGGCTCTGCAGGAAGCTTCTCTGTTTTGTGCTCTCCTTGCCTGACCTGTCAGATTATGTGGACGGCTGTGGCTCGACAGGTTTGCTGTCGCAAAAAAACACTTTCCATTTTTAGATAATGGATTGAACATTATCAATCCATGAAGGATTGAGTTTGTATTTGGCAAAATATGTGTTTTGCCATATTTTTTTGAGTAAAAAAATAAAGACAAAAATAAAATAAAACCATGTATTAAATTGCACAAAATGTTATGCCATTGATAAATATTGTGATTGAAACATTTCACTTGCTCTTCTTTTTTGTAATAATCACTTTGCCCCCATAACTGCAAAGCTTCAGCAACACTGTCATTAACACTATATATCAGGAGCCGTTTGCCAAAAACATTGATAACTCGTAGCAAGTGAATTAATAGCCTTTAAAATATAATAGTCTTCAACATATTCCATCAAAGCAATCATTTTCGGCTGTGATTTTGTACATATTGCTGTTGGAATGATGATCGGTTTTCAATGCATTGTGCCGCTCTTTTGTGCTGTGCTGGTCGATCACATAACGTCCCAATAAAATATACCGAATTTGCGACAGAAGAAGAAAAACTTGAAGGGATTTGAACACTTTTGAAATGCTCTATAGACATCGAAAGTCTGGGGGACCCATTGGCTCCATAAACTCCTATTCTTGGTGAATGCGCTTACACACTCTTAAAGCTGTGTGTGTCAATGGCTGTATCATGCACCCTCCAACTGTAATGGCTGCCATGCAAAGGGGAGAACGATGAGATGTATTGGAAGGTGATCAAAGGGCTGCTATTTACAACCACTCTCGGGCTGCAGACTTGACGACCAACGGTAAGCACACTGTACTATACAGGGAAGCTCTTCCATCAGGCTTTTACTGCCCATCACCGCAGCTGTTAGGCAGGGGAGATGGCAAAGCTTTTAGTGGACTGAGATACCGTCCTGCTGGACGGCTTGTATGGGCAATGCCATCAGAAAAGAGAATGACTGGGAAAGATAAGGGAAATGGAGGCCAGGGAGGGAAAAAGGAAGGAAGAGAGAGGGAGGTGGAGAAGGAATAAGTTGATGCCTGCCTGCTGGCTGTCAAAGGTAAATGCTTTGGCTTAATAGAAACTGATATCCGGTGACTCATTCAGGTTTTTGTGGATGGGGGAGGTTAGGGAGAGTCAGGGAGTTAAATAAAGCAGGAGAAGAGGAGGAGTCCTTACCTGGAGCAGCCAGTAGCACCTGCGGTGGAAGGTGGGGATGATAGAGGAGTGGACATAGCAGCCATACAGACACTGAAAGGAGGGCAGAGAAAAGGAGAAAGGGGGACAGAAAAAAAGTGCATTACATTACAGGTAGAAGAAGGCAAAGGTTTGACCTCTCAGCCGACCGTGACACCTGTGATTTTTGAACCCACAACCTTTTCCCTCTACTTTATAACTCCCACTAGAACCATTGTTCTTGAAAACAAAGACAATGACCTCGAGGCAGACAGGGGGTGATATTCACCAGTGAACTCCTCAGTACCTGCTCCTGACTCCAATATTTTATTTTTCTTCATCCACTTATATCCAGCACTTCCCCTTTAATGAGCTTTTGTTACCGTAACTTGTTATAGAGAACTTTGTTTCCAAAATAGTAATTACAAGATCCGATATCTTGTCGGCAAAGATGCATGAAACCCTTACAAAAGGTGTTTCTTTTTTTGTTCTATCTGCACAAGGATACAATGATGTTTACGAGCCGAAGGTGTTGGCAGGTACTGTCAGCTTCCACCCAAGAGCTGGATCATGTCATTATTTTTCGGTTGTCTCTGTCAAAGCTACAAAAATCATTATTGTCCTTTGTAAACTTTGCACCACCAGCAGAATGCTTTCAACCACGGAAAAATACAACATCTAATTTATAGAAGCGTCTAACATGGCATCACAGCAGCAATGTCGTGGAGAGGCATTAAACATACAAGATCTAAAGAAGCTTGTCCCCGCCTGTGCCTCATCGGGTTTGAGGATGTGCAACATTTTCAGTGATGCAGTATGACTTGTTGTGGATGCCCCAGTAAAGTTAATTATTGTTCAATTAAAGTAAAGTCAAGTTAAAGTTGGACTTGTTAGATGATTGCACTCATCAGCATGCATACCATGTGAGCTTTTGCCTTTTAATGATGCACTTGAACAATTCTTTCTTTCAAGAGAGGAATGGATATGCGGCGTACAACATTTCAAAGTTGTCTCGAGTTTGAATTCATTATGGATTTTCTCCCATCCACACAGGGTCAAACGTATGCATGGAAGGTCAGATATACACATACACGCTACTCATTTCTGTTCCTTGATGTCAATAAGTTTCTGACATATCTCTATCTGGACATTTGACCACACGTCTCATGTGAAAAGAAACCATGTTAAATGTTTTTTTTCTTTGCATAAATCTGTCTTTTAAAACCTGTTTTTACAGGTTGAGTACAGATGAGGTTGGGACCATAAAAGCCTAATATTCGACAGCTTTCATCCATCCAAAGCCAGCTGTTGTGTGTGTTTTAGACAGCTGGTCTTTATCTGATTCTTGATTTTAGATCAAGTTAAAGAATTTTGTGCAATGTACATGTACCAGTGGCACAGAAACAGACTCTTGACATGATGCTACCACCACCAAGCTTGACACATTTAAATGTTTCTTGTCTCTTTCTCATATTAGTCATTCCTCTTGTTCATGTGGGTGGATGCACATTTCTGTTGAGCTTTATGGAGTCAATTTAGTGATTCTTTTCTGGGCTCAGTCCATGATGACAACATTACTATTACAGCAGTTTCCAAGCTTGAGCCTTAGTTGTTTCTGGAAACGTTTACTAACTTTCTTTACTAGAAAAGGTTTTCCATAAAGACAAGAAAAGAAATATGACACATTTGGATTTTGAATTTAATGAGGCATTAAAATTCTCCTCTAAATTGATTTAAATCCTGTTTGAGATTAGAGATCTGATTTTAAATGAATGCACCAAATTCATTTAAGATGCAAGTAAGTTTTATTGCCAGATTTAGAAAAAAAAAAAAAGTTGAACATTTACCCCCTTCTTTACAAAAGGGGGTAAATGTAAATATTGAAACCTGCATATAAACATTTTGACCATGAGTTGAGTAGAAATAATTTATGTGAAACTTGTATAGCAAGTTCTTATTTTAAGACAATTATCACACACTGGAAAGAAATAAAATTAGAATTAAAAGACAAAGATTATGAGTGTATGCAGCGTGAAGGAAGATCTCAAGTTTGCTTGTTTTTTAAACAGTGATTAATTATAATAATAATAATAATTGAAAAAAAAAAACAACTGTTTACATTGGCCCAGTGCTGCTCGAGTTTTATTCTGCTTGGAAAGAACTCTTAACAAATTCACCCTGCTGAGAAACCCAGAGCATAACTAAAGCACAGTGTTATTAATATCCTTATCGTAAACAGATAATACTTCGTCTCGGGGCTCATTACTGTGGAAAGAGCAAGGCAGGGCTGATAACGCCCCCTGGTATCTGGCGAAGAGGCCAGGAGACATTCTTCAGCAGCCAGAAGGAGAGGTGAGTGCAGTAAAGCATCACATACCGAGAGGTGGAGCAGAGCTGCATTCTTCCGTCCTCTCTCCTTCTCAGTCCCTTGTTAGATTCACAGTCCTGACCCTGAATGACCTAATGGGAAGGCTATACTTTTTCCTCATTTATAGCAATCTACAATACTTTACCACTGCTCAGCTATTACCTGGTCAGTTACAGGCCACGGAATCATCATACAGGGAAATTAGTTCAAAAGCAGCCAAGAAGTTACAAAGGAAAACAAAGATAATTATTTGCCATCCCAAATTTCTGATTTCAGTCCCTTGAAAATTTGTGGGGGGGACAAACCAGCCTTAGCTACATCAGGGATATATGTTGTAGCATGCAATCTTTGCAAATGATTTGTTTTTAATTGTTTGCTAGGCGAATTTGGTTGTTTCAAAAGCAAAGTTTGTCCAATATTTTTGAGAAATAGATCAAGCAGGCAGGTTGAGAGAATTGAGTGATTTCTTTCAATTATTGATAAGAAATCACTACCTGCACTATATCATCATGTACACATATGCACACAGGTGTAGTCTTGTCTTCCACACACGGACATGCACACGGAGACACTAACCTGAGCTTCAATATTCAGCAGCTGTACTGTACGTGTTCAATAAGTTGAGGTGGGTTTCCTGGGGCGCTGGGAATGAGTAGGCAGCAGAGGCAAGGGGACAGGCACCGTGGGAGGGATGAGGGAGAGTGTTTTAATATTGGGATGGTGGGCTGCATTGCTCGGAGGACCGAATGATAAATAGATGCCTTGAAGTGTTCTTTGTGCTTGTCTTGTTTAATTAAAACCTAGTTAAAATGAGAAGGGATCGCTGAGGTGGATAAACATTGATTTGCCAACATCAAACCCTCTGATGAATGTACGGCTCCAAAGGGAAGGCAAACAGATGGAAGGACGCATAATGACGTGAAGAAAGTGCTTACAGATCTTAGAGATACGCGCATTTATGTGTGCGTCCAGCTCATTCACAAGAAAACAATTCACAGACGCCATCAGCCCTTTCTGGTTCTCCAGGTGTTCCATTGTTCTGTTCACACCTATTTGTTTGCTGATTTCAATACCACCCAAAGTGTGTTTGTGAGAGTTTGAGAAGCTACGCTCCTGCAGACTGCCTCATTTTCTTATGTTTTTGCTGAACCCTCATCTATTACAGCTGCCTGGTATAGGATGTATGCCTCCTCCCACTCCTATAACTCTACCATCCATTACTCTACGCTGGTGTTGGACAGAGGATTCCTCCCACAACCAGAGTAAAGCGAACATCAAGTTACAACCACCACAGCTACACACATTTGTACTTTGCAGCTCAGTGACTATTTATGTCATAAACTGGGCTTTCTGAGCTTTCAAGGGATTTCTGATGCAAGTGCTGTACACTGATCTATGAGGCCTTAAATAGTTTCACTACTGTCATGTTCTGCAACAGTTTTGGGAAAGGTGCTTACAAGCAGAAATGCCAACGTTTTCTCTTCGGCACTTAGCATTATGTGCCAACACAAATGCTGATATGCCAAACTTGCATTTATTTTGACGGCAAATATGGAATAGCAAACCTTTATGGAGTTAATTATGATCAATTGCACATTTACAGCAAGTGAATTTAATGTTGGTGGCCTACTTAACTTATTTTATGTGCTTTGATTTGCTTGATTGATGATATTATTGATCAAAAGCATAAAATCTGGGTTCCTTCACATTTTTATAGCAAAGTATGTACATTTATAGACAAAGATTTTCTGTTTCCATGGATCTCAGTCAATTCAAAACACAGATGCCTTTAGCTTTGCTACTCTGCATAATCTTTGCACGGATAAAACATTAAACGAGAAAGAAAGCTGACTCTTAAAAAAAAAAACCTAAGTAAAGGAAAAAGGCACTTAAAATGTTTTGTATCCCCAATTCTGGCTCCTGAGCAGTTACTCACAGATCAGGGTTAATATTGTTCTAGCCTTGAGCGCTTGGCCCCCTGAGAGTGACCTGCAGCTGGACAGTATGACGCCGCTTTGACATGCTCGACACGACTGACAGGTTTCCTGGCGCAACAAGCCTAAGTGACTGGGGTGAATGGAGGAGTGAATAAATTAGCCCCGGGGCTGCTCTTCTTCCCCTCTTTTTGCCCCCATTACTCAATGACACAAAGCGGCATGGCAGACAAACAAGCAGCTTAAAGCGTAACAACAGTTGAAGCTGTCAGTGCCAATATACAGTAGACATTAAACAAAACGCCAGCCTGGGAACCTTTTACTAGTTCACCATTTCTAAGGTCTTAAGCACAAAAACAATCAGAGGAGCAACGAATAAAGTTGTAGTTATTAAATCATAAACCCACAGTGTTGTGTTGCATCATGCATATTCATGAAATATAATTGACACAACACAAAGTAGAGCATAATTGCAAGCGTGGAAGGAAAATTATTTAATACGTATTTTTAAATGCAGTATTTAAATTCAATCCCCTTTACTGTACTATGCCTAACTAAAATCCAATGCTATAACCTTCATAAGTCTGACTAGATTCCACCTGTCTGTACTTTTTTGCTTATGTAGCTTACTGTTTTGTGACTGCACTTTGATTTTAACGTGAGCAACGAAAACCAAAGTCAAATTCCTCGTTTGTGCCCACAGACCTGCTGAATACAGCTATAAATCTGCCAAGATGTGACTGAATGGCTGAAATGACAGTAAGAGTAACAGG